AAAGCATATGCTATGCTTGGCTTTGTGCGGCGGAATAGCACTGAATTTTCCGATCCGTACACTTTAAAACTGCTATATACCTCTTTCGTACGTTCTCACCTGGAGTATGCAACAATAATCTGGCGTCCGTTCCACCAGTTCCATATCAATAGGATTGAACGCGTTCAGAAAGTGTTTCTCAAATTTGCCTTACGATCACTACGCTTTTCTGAGCCCATACCCTCATATAATGCGCGCTCATCGCTGCTCAATCTAAAATCGTTAGATAAAAGAAGGTCAACTTTGTCTCTAACTTTCATTTTTTGCATTATCCAAGGATCTTGTGACTGTCCGCAGCTTTTGGGTAGAATAAATTTTAATGTACCGAGGAGGTATCTGCGTGCTTCCCTGCCTTTTTATGCTGGAAATTTCAGAACGAATTATGCCCGTAATGCACCCATCGGCCGTGCAATTTGCGAATTTAACCAGATCTCAACTTCTATCGACCTTGATTTTTCTCTACCTAAGTCAATTTTTATCAATATTCTTAACTTGATGCCCTAGTTTAAGCTCGATTGTTAAATAGTCTGTAAGAAATTATGCTTTCATAGACTGGTTGTTAAATAAATAAATAAATAAATAAATAAAGTGTGTTAAGTTTTATGTAAACAAAATAAAGGTAATATTGTTTCTAAATATTTAGCAACTATTTCTACTTTATTAGGAACAATATTTAAATATTTATTTCTAGCAACTATTTTTACTTTATTAGGAACAATATTTAAATAGAGTATGTGTTTGCGCCTATGACACCCTCATAACGTTTTAACTTAACACAAAGGGTGGCAACATTCCGACTGTCAATACACGTCAGCGCGTGTTTTTTTTCTCACTTGCTTTCTTTATCTCATCAGCACATGTATCATAACCTAAGAACTGTTTATTAATGTTGAAATATTCATTGATAGAATTATAGCAAAGAATAAATCTTTCATTTGCGTTCAAACTTAACACAAAAGTGGCGACCGTAACAGGTAGATTATTATGCTACATCAGGGATGCACAACAGAGGTGCACGCAGTCGACGTCGCGGGCAAACTGCGAGCAAGGCGAGGTGAAGTGAGCTATACGGAGATGGCAACGTATACATATTAACCACTACACACTTATTTTCAAGTAAAAATGTATGTATGTGTACTTTTGCGACAACTGAGCCAGTGTGGCATCAGGCCACCAGAAAAAGCCAATTTTCCAAAAAAAAAAAGCGCCAAGTTTTTATTATCATGTTTAATCATTTTTTTTGATTCAGTAAAAAGTGTATATACATATCCATTTCCTCACGTTTTCTTTAATAAATTAATTTAAATACATTTACAACAACGCAAAACATATTTAATTTGCCTATTCCTCACATTTTATTCAGTAAATGAATTCCATCTTAATGTAGAATATAAGTGTGTAGTATGTACATACATACATACACTTGTATGTACCTATGCATTCGGTGTGCTTAAATTAAAAAAGCATCACTAAATAACGCACCAAGCATTGAATTCCAATTATCTTGGCTTTTTGGTTTCCCAAAGGCACTAAATTTAGTGCAAAATGCACGACCTTGGCAACAGTGAGCTGAGCACATCCACGCTCAAACAGTGATGCCAGACCAAGTATTGAGTAAATGCACTATGCATATTTTTCTTTTAAAGCAAAAGTTCTTATTGGAGAGGGGATTGATTTTTGGTTCTTACATAGAACACTGATAAGATTCACAAACTTATATTAGGACTTAATTAATATAATCAACATTATCTGTAGACGAATATATTTGTGTTCGTATGAAATAGTAGCTTATGTCGGGAGGCTGGCTTTAGTAAAATGTACCATTCCCTATATTCTTTAAACCACAAGGAATTTTTTTATGAGACTTCATACGAATATTGAATTGCTAGCATCGCAACTGCCTCTTTTACGTTTATTTTCCAAAAGTTCTTCAACGACTCGGCGCCAGTGAGTCTTTCGCAATCGTATGCTGCGAATGGTTCATTATACTAAAGCCAGTCTTCCGACATAAGCTACTATTCTATACGAACACAGATATGTATACTTCCCAATAGGCTTGTAAAATGCCCTGGTGAAATAACACAAACGGCAATAACGCAAAATTTGCTTTATTTCACTTTTAAATGGGAAATAATACCAAAATCTGAGTTTTGCTTTATTTCCAACAAAGGTTGGAAATTGGAGCGACATGTCGCAATAAACAGATGAAGTAATAAAACGGCTTTCTCGCTTTATTTTCTGACATTCGGCTGCCTTATAGTCACACTTTATAGGCAAATTTTCAAATAAAGCACTGGCACCTGGTAAATTCCACTATGGGTGGGATGCAGCATGTAATAACACCATACACAATAATTCCCATTACTTGAACATTAAAAAGCAGTTTCAGAAGTGAGCTAGTGTTATTTTATCATTTTTCCTTTTTCTAAACGGTTATAATGCCACCAGTACATAATTGTGAAAGGAGGGGAGAGGCGGGGGACGCGAGCGTGACGTCGAACGCGGCGCGGGGTGTCGCGCGAACGCGGACCGCCGCGACGGCGGGCACTTTCAAAATTGTATACTTACAAATCCGTTCATTCATCTCACCGTTCACCGTCTTGTTCATGTACTAATTTTTGTCAATGTAACTGGGTGACTACCTACATATGTGCACTATCTTGCTTTATTACTCAAATTGTTAAGTATAAAAGTTGGTCTTATTGCTCAACGAGAAATGAAATAAAGCAAATTTGTGTTATTTCACATTCAA